GTTCTGACTCACAGACTGTAAGTACGTTTTTTATATTTAAAGAATTTGCCACTGACGATTCAAACGCGAGTTTTGAGCAGTGTAGAGTAGCGCTTGTTGTTTGTCGTTTCTCCGATCACAAATGCAGACATGGTTTTATGTTTACGCTGCGCGATACGCAATGCAACGCGTAAAAAGACAGTATAAGTCATTATAATCAGTAATTATGTCCCCCACTGGATGCAACAAATGCCTTGTTTGTAATGGGTTTTATTGGTGTTGTCTTATCGCGCCGGGAGATGGCATCACAGTATGGTAAGGGGTGTATCATTTCTGTCACATGCTTGAGGTATTCAGCCAAGCACAATAGCTGGCCAATCAGAGCACACCTCGCTTTTCAGAACGATGAGCTTTGTAAAAATCGACACGTTTCAGAAAGGAGGGGCATAGAGGAGAAACAATAATGTACATTATGTGAAAAATAATGTGTTTGTTTAACCTTAAACCGCATAAACAAATTGCATTACACCAAATACACAACATAATGTTCTTTTTAGCAACATCATATGACCCCTTTAATAAGTTATTGACTGAAAATCCAGATTTTGAGCAATGAGATCTGAGAACTACAGCGGAAAGGACCTTTTTCAAGTGAATATGAACTTAAAAGTTTGGCCTGTTCCTCTCACAGAGCTGTAAGAACATAGTGCATGGGTTGTATGGACTAGTTTTATGGTGTTTCCTTTGTCATGTTTACACACAACCACTTTCCTTATACAGAAATGAGCCAGGATTTTTTTTTAATTTCTAGAATGATTTAATTCAATTTCTAGAATTTTTTTAATTTCTTTAAAATCTAGAACTTTAACCCTATGAAGTCTACCTTATCATATCTTAAAAGGCCATTTCTAAGGCCTTTAAATTATCAACATGATTAAAATCTTGCTGAAAAAAAGCTTTGTACACAAGCTTCTGCATACATTATGTCAGCTGATTGATAGTTTATACATTTTAGCAAGTGAAAAGGCCTTTCAGTAAAAATGTCCCCTTTCAGGTTGTGTCTTTTTGCTGTGAATTTTTTTTCCTGATTTTTATAAAGGAAACATGAGAATAAATGTTATATTGTTAGTAATATTTCAAGATGAACACTTGCTGGACTGCACATTTTATTTAGTTACACATATACTAATCATAATTAAAAAAACAAACATGTTAAAATGTGAGATTTGAGAAATTTTTAGGAATTAACTAAATAATAGGTTTTGCCCTCCACAGTAAGGGCCCTATTTTAACGATCTAAGCGCATGGTCTAAAGCGCACGGCACAGGTGCACTCAGGGCATGTCCGAATCCACTTTTGCTAGTTTAACGACGGGAAAACGGTCGGCGCGCCCGGGCGCATGGTCTAAATGGGTTGTCCCTATTCGCTTAATGAGTAATGGGTGTTTTTTGGGCGTAACGTGCAATAAACCAGAGTCTCATATCCCATTCCCTTTAAAAGCCAGTGGCGCTCGCGCCATGTCGGGTTTGCTATTTACATGGCGGAATGTAATTTTTCATTTTTAAAAATGTTTGTGTGCCGCTGCGTGTCCCTGTGTGTGTAATAAGCAAAGTGTACGCGCGTTGTGCACCCGCCTATATTACTAACGCGCTCTTTAAATAACAAAGAAAAAAATATTGCGGCAGACTTTAGACCAGGTTTTTTGTTGGTCAATGGCGATGGCGCAGTCTATTTCAGTTGCCTCAAAATAGCAACGCGCCAGGAATGCGCCCGAACACACCTCGTTTTCAGACGAGCACGCCCATGGGCGCACAAATGCATTTGCTGAAACTAGCAAAAACACTTGCGCCGCATTGCGCCGGGTGTATGATAGGGCCCTATAGCTTCAATTAAGCATTTACAGTACATATCATGTTATTAAAACAAATTACTGGAAGATATAGAGTGACAACTGATACTTATATGCATTTTATGCAAGTAGTCTTTTAGAGTGTTACAAAAATCTCACTGGTTTACATCACAGCTATCAGAATTGCATCTTACCTTTTGGCCATATAAATATAAGCAACTGCACCAAATTTTTGCTCATATTTTTTCTCTTCGATATTTCACATGTCAGGCTTTACAGGGTTAAAAGACAGTAATACAGAAAAATCCTGTAAACGTGTTTCACAGGTGTATGGCTCCAAGCACCAAATACTTCTGACGGAAAGTCACACTGGACCTCATGCAGGAGTTTCCGATAACTGCTGGCTCAAAAAAAAAATAAAAAATAAAAAACCTGGAGAATTTTAATGACATTATACAGAGTTGTGATAGACAATGAAAGTCACATAAAGCAAAATGACTGTATTAAATTCCACAAGACACAGGCATGACATTTAAATATCTGAATTTCACAATATAGTTTTCCATTCTGCCACAGAAACCTGCAAAAATTATTTGATATTAATAGCACAATAAATACAATAAACTTAATGCAATAAAGAGTGTCACTGATTTAAGATGTTTTTGTTTAATATTATGTATTTTAAATGCAAAACTTTCATCATGTTTTATGTGTGAAATCATGTTTTTTGAACACAGTTTCTATACCACATTATTGTTCTATCACATGAATGTGCTATTGAATGCAATCTATTCAAAAAAGTGAAATATTAAAGGGGTCCTATTATGCTCTCTTGGTATACTAGAACAGGCTCTCATACTAGGCTGTTCGAAAAACACATTATTTTTCACATATTTTACATTACAACACCTCTCTCCCCAGTCTGGCATGAACGGCTCGAATAGTTCCTGTATTAAATAAAGGCCCGCCTTCTGAAATACAAAATGTGCTGTGATTGGTTAGCTGGGCCAGTGTGTGATGTGATTGGCTCCACTCGGCACCTGGTTGGGAAATGTCATTCCCCTTAACATAGCCGCCTACAAGCTTCAGTGTAAATATTGCGTCAAAATCAAATTAATTTCCTTTTGAAGTGGACTTTGAACTTTGCAGATATTTTTTATGCTCAAACAGCAACATTACAGACTTACTAAAGTTGAAAAAGTGAAAAAGCATAATAGGACCCCTTTAAAATAGATACTAAAAAAATAAATTTAAAACAATGGTATGTAGCTCGTCAAAATTTTTTTTTTTTTTAATTTAAGTGAACAATACATACGTTTTTTCCAAGTAATTATTCTAGTAAACAGTCAGCAATGAAAAACTAAAGAAATATGAAAAAAATATTTGAAGAAGTAGTTTTCTCTGCCATGAACATTGATTATTTAATATTATAAACAGCTCTATTAGGCTGCTTTTACATTGCAAGGCCTGAAGCACAGACAAAACATTAAAATAAAATAAAATAAAATAATATAAATAAAAAGATAAAAATTACTTTATCTAGGTTGCTGATTTGACTGGAATATTCATCTCATGTGAGTGTATATCACTTTAAGCATTTGTCAAAAGCACTAGGTGCAAAACCTTATGTGGAAAAACTGAATGTAATCTTTCTACTGAAATAAGACTTCATCATAAGCTTGTCTGTAAAGCTCTCTGATGACAGCTTGTGTGAAGAGCTCTTACCTGACACTGAGCACTGCAGTACCGGGCCGTCTTACACTGAGAACATCTCGACAGACTTTCACCTCTGTTAAGAATAAAGAAGACAGAATTAACATCAGCCTCAGTGCTTTGTGTATTTCTCAAGAAACTACATCCTCAGGCTGAAGAGGAGAAAGTCTGGTTTGATTTACAAGGCTTATAATGAAGCATTCCTGCCCTGACTAAACATCACTTGCTTTAAAGTATATGTCTAATGACCACCTTTGCTTTGGGGCTTAGTCTATAACATGTAAGCTTGAAGTAAGGAATGTGGTTAACATGCAGAGATCAGATGCATAGAACAGACTGAACACAAAACGTCAAATTATCTCTTTAAAAATGAGTTTAATGAGCTAATGTTTTGTTTAAACATCCATAAGTGTCACGCAAGTTACACACTTAGTTCGTGCATAGTTATGTCTCAGCTTTATTTGTTACAGTTTTTTTTTTTTTACTGTGACTATTTGATTTAGTCAAGAGTTCCTTTTTAAAACAGATCTTTTTAAACATTTTACCAAACAAATTGTATGGAGTAAGCAAGCAATAACTGAATAAATGCATTGAATTTCAAATGATTCATAACCTTTCCTGTGCTGCATATGTTGTGATGTTTCCCATAGACACTAATGACCAAAACACTAAAAAAGTGTGTGTCTCTCTCCCTCTGCCCTTATATTGCTCCTTCCTGAGTGAACATAATCACAGGGAGTTTAGTATGAAATAGCACCAGATTCATCTTCTTGCCACCCTGGTGTCTGGAGGTGGTGTGATTTTTGAACAGGCCCTTGACAAATCACTTCAGAGAGATTTTTAGTGTCAATCTCCTAAAAGAAACTGAAGAGTGTCAGGCACAAATTATAGTGCAGGCCTGAGTTCTATACGAATGGACCCTCTGACCCCTTCCTATAGGCTATAACATTTTCACTCTTTTACTGTGTGTAACATACAGTATCTCACAGAAGTGAGTACACCCCTCACA